GGCGGGGGGAGGCGGTGTGAGGGCTAACGCCTATGTTGCACCCTGCCGCTGGGGGTCCCTCTCTGCCACCTCTAGCGCCGGAAAAATCTTTATTTTGGGAAAAATGTTCTTTCAACAGAAAATGTTTCTAATTACGGGCTGGATGGACACTTGGTCACTCTGGGTCTTTCTACTACTTGAATCTTCCTGCTGTTGAGTATGAATTGTTGTCGCAGGGGACCAGCTCCAGGCCTGCCAAGATCAGCTTTATTTCCAGGGGCTTCCTGGCACCGCCTGATCTTGCCTCACACCTGGGTATCACCCAAAGGGTCATGAACACAAGGAGTGTGCAAATAAGCTGTGAAAAGAGGAATAAAAGGAAAGAGGGAAAGCCAAATGTAGTGGAAATAGAGGCAGAATTTTCAGCATTAGGATTTCCGAGGGAAGCGCTGGTTATTGATGGAGATGCGTTTTGTTTATTTTGGTGCCTGACCATCATCTGTGATTTCTCTCACAGGACTGCGGAGCCCGCTTGCAAGCTCGGGGTTACCAGCCTGCAGTTTGCAGTAGTAATGACAAGTTCTGTTTTGCCCACTGGTGCCATAAGTGCAAAAATGAAATAAGGGGATTTTGGGAGGTAGATGTGAGTTGTAGACCTATAGGAGCACTAAGAGGAAAAACAGATGTGAAAGAAAATACATACAAATATGGCAAGAAACAGGAATGAAGTTATGGTTGCATAATCTGGGTATGCTGTTACCATGACTTTTGGACAGTGGCTGCTCTTTGCAGGCAGTTACTGTGTGTATATGTAAAAACTGTGCATACAAGCTATATGGTGTAGGTTTTTTTGAGTGAACTTTTTTTAGTCTAGGCTTTCATGTCTGCAGGAAATTGATATTTTCCAGTTTTGCAAGATGCAAAACACTGATAACCTTTTGCAATGCTCCTCTCCCATCAGTGCTGATAGGAAACCAAGTTAGTGCAATAAAAGCATAAAAGCTCATTTGTAACCCAGAGTTCACTATGTGAGGGTCACTATAGATAAATAAAGCCTCTCCCTGGCCCGAGAGCTCTATCTCACTGTGGTCCCTTTGGGCACTATGCAGCACCTCTTTCTTTTGTGCTAAGCTACACTTACTTTGTGAGTAATGGCCCAGGAGTGGAGAGAGGTCTGGTTCCAGTGACAGGGAGCGTGGGGAGGGCAGCTGCTGGCACTGGAAGCGGGGGGTGGTAGAGATGGAATTTACAAGGAGACAAATAATTAAATATTAATTCCCAGCTGAAGTCCTGGAAGGCCAAGTGAACCAGCATGTAGCCCCTGCTGGGAAGTGCTGAGGCCAGCAACCGCCCAGAGGGGCCGGGTGGGATCGGAGAAGGGGCTGTCCAGGCAGAGATGTGACTCACATCTCGGAGGGAGAATGTGCTCCTGTTTCCCTCACCTTCTGCCCTGGCAGAAGGCTGTGTCTTTTTACGAGAAAGAACAGACTGTGGCACTGATGGCTTATTATTCTGCAGCCTTTTTCAACTTACGAGGTTGATTTTGAGAGAAAAAGTTTTGCAGAGCTCCTTTGGGCCAGCATGTGGCACACCCTCATACACGTGCTCCCAGTCTCTTGCTGGTGGGTATATTGGGTAAACTGGACCTGTTTTAAGCAGTTGTGTTGTTTTAATGGCCTGAATTTTGCTTTCACATCTTCAGTCACCCATCTGCCCATCCTCTCCATCATGCACCACTACCCGAGTGATAAAGCAGCTTTTGCTACCATAGCCCACCATGGTGGCAATAAGGTGGCACAGGAATCTCCTACTCATTTTTTTTATCATGACATTTTATTCATGTTGTTTAGCAGTTAAAGAAAAGCTAGATAAAAATCCCCATAGCTTTCTCTCAGCCAGCTCTCTGCTTTCTTTTGGGCCCCAAGTGAAGGTGCATTTGCCAGCGGGGCTGGGCAGCCGCGGGGCCAGGCGCCAGGCGGATGCCGGATCCTCACTGTGCCAGCGGCCCCCGGCAGTGCCCAGCAAAAGCTTTTGTGTCCATTCTGCTATTAAAAACAGCCGCAGTGGTGATGCTGTCACCCTTTAGCCCCTGCCCCGGATGGGTGTGGGGATTAACTGATTTGTTACTATTTGTGAAAAATTATATGTATGTGCTGTTAAGGAGAGGAAAGGGGGATCCAGGGGTACAGTCCTGCCTCTAATGCTGTTGTATCACCACACTCTTCCTCTCTAATTTCTTGTTCCTTCTGTGCCAGTGATTCATGGTTTTTATAAGCTGGAGAGAGCTTTCTTCAGTGGAGTCTGCTTTTTCATCCAGTGCATTTGACTCCCAACTTCTTTGATGCTCTAGGAGTGACCTGCCTTGAGGTAGTAATTCTCCAGAGAGATTATTATTTGTGAAAATGGAAAGGTTTCTCTACTGAACATGATTTTTATATATCTTTCATATATATGTGGCCAACTCACCCAGGTTTTGAATATGTTTTAAAGCACTCAAAGGATGTTGGTGAAGTACTAAATCAGGGTGTTATTTTGCTTTCCCTTTTTCCTCCTCATTACTCAGCTTCATTTAGCCTCCAATTGTGAGAATCCAGGCAATGCAAAAAGCAGAGAGAAAATCCAGTTTCCTTGACTTTGATCTCTTGCTCATCTTGACAGTGCATCAGCTCGGTCTGCTGTGATGTGTGCCTCTCGCTTGGGCTCTCTGCAGATGGAGACTGAAAACCTCTGCAGCACTCACTGAGATTTACCTTGGTCCAGGCAAGGGGATCCTGTCCTGCCCCACATACTCTCCCATTTAATTTCTGATGACCCTGACACATGGCAGAGCTGGCAGAAAAATCTGCCCTCAGAGTTAGCGGGGCAGCTTTTGTGACTCGTGATTGTAGCATCCGTATTTGCATGGGTCTGGCCTGATTATGTTAAGGGCAGTCAGGGTATAGTCATATGCTACTCACTCGCTTGCTGGGGCTTACACTTGCGTGAGCCAAGACTTTTCCTCCTGCTTTCCTGGTAGTTCCCATGGCTCTATCCTGCTCCGCACCGCTGGCCTTTTGTTTGCTTGTGTTCACTTATTTTTAATGAAAAAGAAATAAAAGTGTTTCACATGGCATTGCAAACAAATTGTTGAACTTCTGAGTCACTGGTTAAACTGAATTGTCAAAGCAATTGCAGATCCCTGTTTTTCTCCTGCTTTTGAGTTTTTAATGATTTGTGTCCACGGAGGGGAAATGTTTGAGAACCAGATATTTAAACTGCCGGACTTGGATGTTGTGTTTGGGTTGGTTTGGTTTGTTTTTTTTCCTAGCAATCATTTGTACTCACCATTTCTTTACCTGTGGATGCACTGAGCCCCAGTTGTTAGCACAGCCAGGTGCCGTTCCATGGCCTGCAGCACACAGATGGTCACACTGAGCGAGCTCGGGCGATGCCGGAGTTCTGGGAGCACTTTCGGGACGCCTCCGGCTGCCAGAGCTGCGCGGCCGAGGGAGGCGGGGGGAGGCGGACACGGTACCGGGGGGCGG